TCGCGCCATTGCACTCCAGCCTGGGTAACAAGAGCGAAACTCCGTCTCAAAAAAAAAAAAGAAAGAAAATACCAAAGAGTTGGGAAAATAACTTATTTTTTGGTTCCCAGTGTCTTTGCTATTTGTAAGCCTTAGAAAAGTTGCAAATGAATGTTATTTTTACCAGCTGGAGCCTGGCACTGGGTTACACTCCCGTGTTTGCACGACACAGGCTCCCTTCTGAAAACACCTTTGCCAACTAATAATGTACTGCCTTTGTCCTGTGTCTGTAAACCCCCTCCCCTGCCTGTTCCTGCTTGTGCTGCGCATGAACTAGTAAATTAATAAAGCCAAAAAATTGTAAGGTTGAATGTCCAATGAACAATAACATAGTTTTACCTCAGTTTCCCCTTTATCATTGTAAGCCTATAAAAGGGGAAAGAAGCTGCTTCTCGGGGGGCTCCGTGAATAATGCTGTAGCCCGCACCCCACCCCCCCAACCTTCGCAGCTCCTGTCCAAATAAAAAGCCACTTCCTTCCTCAGTTCGATGTTCAAGAGGGTTGTTTCTTGCTGTTCCTGCTTCATTTTGGTTCCCTGACCGGGAAACGAGTTTCAGTTGGTGGACGGTCAGGACAGCTTCCCAGGCAGCTTTGCCCTGCCCTTGTGGGGCATCCCTGCAGGGGACTCCAGCCCACTTGAGCGACAGGATCCTGAGAGCGCTCCCAGGTAGGCATTGGCCCCAGTGGATCCTTCACCCACAGCATGGCCAGGCAGGCCCGCAGGCATCCAGCACAAGGGCTGAGCACCGAGAAGGAACCGGCGCGCTTGGAGTCCAAACATCAAAAACTCAGCAGGGTTGATTCTGGAAAGCTTCACTTAACCACCCCACTGGGTAGAAGCATGGCCTAATCAAGCACGGTGTGCCAGTGTAGGCGCCTTGCTTTTAATTCTGTTCTTGTGTGTGTGTGTCAATCTTGGCACTTTGGTCTTAATTCTGTTACTCTGCAAGCCAGTCTGGGCACCTTAAACTTGTTTCTGTTTCTAACTTGGCTGAAGGGAAAAAGTAAAAGTGTGTAAAAGTGCACAAAAATGTACTGCACTGTAGAGGGTGGGAGACTGCAGGTGGAGCTCGAAGCCCGAGTTATCACATCAAGTAAAGTCAGTGAGCAGCCCCTCTACCTGTGGGAGTGCCGTTCTCACCCTAACCGAGGGGGGTGGGTAAAACGCAGAGTAAACCCACTCCGTTGAAAACTATGCTAAAAATAATTCAATAAGAAATTGAGTGGGGATGATGGTGCCACTGTGATGCCAGAGAAACTTAGAACTCTGTGTAATACTTTACAGCATTTTTCTGGCCAGCATTCAAAGCAAATTGGCCCACAGATGGGAGCCTGAGCAGGTCCCTTGTCTCCAAAGTGTGGCACAAGGTTACAGGCAAGCCAGGACACCCCAACCAATTTCCGTCCATAAACTCCTGGTTACAGTTCGTTTTAAGCACTCCCCCCACCCCCTGCCCAGCAGTGGTTAAGGGGCCCAGGTGCAGCAGCGCTAGTGGCAAAAAAAAAAAAAGGTAAAAAAAAAATCAGGAATAAAAAAAGGTAAACTGCTAACCCTAAAAACAAGGGAGAGCCGTCAGCGCAGCTGTGTGTGG